CACACGCACTCTTCCCCTCCCCATGATGGGGGTGGGGCTGGGGGCCTGCCTCCCCCAGTCCCAGCTGCACCGACCATCCATGCCTACCCAGCAGAGACCTGGTTCAAGGACAGCAGCAGGAAAGTATCAAGCAAGGGCTAAAACTGTTGCCCTTGGAATGTGGGAAGACAGATAAAACCATCTCGAAGCTCTTTCCCGGTGCTTTGCGTATGCTGGCTGGGAACGGGCATCCAGGAGAGGCAGCTGAGGCCTCTGGTTACCTGCATTCGCTATCTTGGCTGCTTCTTGGCCAGGGGCGGGTATAGGGCAGGGCGAGCGGGGCGGCCACCCCGGGCCCCGTGCTTCAAGAAGCCCTGTGCATGCGCCGTGGCGCCACCGTGCATGCGCCGTGGCAAAGGGGGGCCCCGCAAAATTGTGCTGCCTGGACCCCGCAAAATGGTCATCTGCCCCTGTTCTTGGCCATACACCGAAGCAGTCAAGAGCACTCTCCCTCCAGTTCCAGCCTTGGCCTGTCTAGGAAGCAACCTTTCCTCGGACCTCGCCCCAGTGAGCCGCTTCTTTGCCACCTTCAGGCAATGCACTCGCCCTGGGGCTACTCGCTGGTGCTGAACGCAGCTGCCTGCTCACTCAGCGTGCTGTGCATGGCTTCCACAGGCTGCGCTGCCTTCCAGTTCATCATTGGGTGCAAGGCGAGGCCTGGGCTTTGTGCTTTAAAGGGGTGGGTGTGTGTGTGTGTGTGCGTGCACACACCTCTCTCAACACTGGGATTCTCCTCCCTTCCCCCGCCCCGCAGTCCGATAAGGAGGGTGTGGCCGCACAGGCCTTTCCGCACCTGGGTCAGGAACCGAAGATAAGGACACATGGCATCCAGGATCACCTCCTGGGTGATGACACTCCGCTCACTGATCTGCAGAGAGAATTTCACGCTTCCACGCAGGCCCCCAGCTAGGACGATTTCCAGGGGCTTCAGAAGAGATGTGATTGGCTTCCTAAAACAGACGTCAAGCATAAGGGTTCGGATTCAGGAGGTGACAGCTCTGAGTTCTAAAAGTTAACGTAAGGCTCCGACACTTGGGAGACAGGGGGAGGGGGTGATAGAGAAACTTTCCAGGTAACCCTATGGCAGCCTTCTTCTGAGCTCAGAACTCCTCCGAGGCTGTGTGATCTAGTCCACGCTACTCCCTGGACACACAGGGCCGGGAAGGACAAGCACATGGCATCCCAAGCTTAGTCCTCTCTCTGCAAAGCTGGTTTGTTGCTGTAATACCAAGAAGCAAAGAGCTTTGCAGCGTCCTAAAGAAGTACTCACAATGCACTGCTCACCTACCTGGTTTCCAGGTGATAATCCATCGCATCCCAAGCATCCCAGTACAAGGGAATGTCATCAAATATCACAAACTGGTTAGCACAGTGGCCATCCTGGACCGACTCTCTGAAACAAAGGCATGAGGCAGAGGATCAGCACGGGTAGATGCCACAACTTTCCACTAGCCTGGAAACAGACACCTGCTGCTTTAAGTTCTCTGGCAGGATACTAGGTGGTGAAACGTGTGATGTTCCATACCTTGGAGGAGCACCTGAAACCCCATATTCCTCATTTCTATAGAATGGTGATCTTGCACATAAAGCATGTCATGTAAGGTATCAGGGAAGGTATGATCTGGTAACAGTCACTGTTCCATGGGCACACAAAGCGATGTGTTGTATGGTTGTCACTAAAACAGGCTGTAGGTTGGAGAATCAGCCAGATATTAGCTTCCCAGAGATAACAGCAAGGGGCGTGATCAATGCCTGGGCAGGTGTCACAATAACCATCAAGAGCCATTGTCCAGCAAGGGAGCTACAATTCAGTGACTTACCCGGCTGAGGGTAATTGTTCAATCTTGCCTGGGGACTCAGCAAGGCCCACCAGACACACCTAGACTTATGGGAGTGAGGCTGTAAGAAAGACCACAAGAGCCCTGCTTAGCCTTTCTCGCACCTCCTCCCCTGCGGCAAGCATCATGGACACGGAGAAGATTCCAACCGAGGGGACTAGCCCGGGTTTCCAGGGTGACCCTGTGTCCTATAAACTGCAATCTCCAATGGGGTGAGGAAAACTGCTTATAACCAGATCTGAAGCAGTAGCCACTATAGTAGCAAACTAGCCACATTCAACTGGCCAAACAGCCACATGTGGCTAGCGGCTAGCATGCTGGACACCACGGTTCTTAGTGTTGCCTAGTCTAACAGGCTCAAGCGCTCAGACTGTGCGCTTACAGTTCAGTTTTTTGGTAACTCACTCTGAGATTTTTGCCTGTCACTTAAAAGTCACTTGGAATCTACCTTTTATAGTCAATATATTTGTTCAACTGTTAATCTTTACCAGCGAGTTTGCCTGAAGCGTGTGGTAAATTTGCTCAGGTTCTACAAAGGCTGGGGAAAGTCCACTTCTACTTGCAGGCTGTATATTCCTGAGGTGCGGTGGTGGGAGCTGGGGGTGCCTCCCTGTGTGATTCAGGAGGGCTCTGGGAGCATGCAGGCAATCCAGCCGGGGGTGCTGACCTCCACAGCGCCTGGGGGGTTGCTGCTTGCCGCTAGCAAAGCCCCAGGAGAGACAGCCCAGGCTGGAGAGTTGGGGGAGCGCAGTGGTCCCACAGTTGCAGGCTGCCCCAGGGAATCCCCTCAAAAAAGGAACCAGCCCTTCATTTGGCAGGCTGATGGTCAGCCCTACAAGAGACCTCAGATATAATGAAACTGAGGGGAAGAGGAGGCTTCAGATTACTCTCCACTGCATTTCACTGCCCCAGCTGCCAGCCGAGATGGAATCACTGAGATGGTTTGAGTGAGAGCAGATCCATATTCTACGAGTGTTAAAAAGCCTGTAGACCGTCAGCTTTCTGGGGCAGGGTCCATCTGCTCCCGTGTTCACGCGGTACCTGGCACAAGGGGCCCCAACCTGCGTTGGCCCTCAGGCGCAGCCACAATAAACCCCAACACTGACGGTCCTACCTCCCCGAGTGCACCAAGCGAAGCGATATCACGCGTCCCATGGAGTCCAGGTGAGCTGCGATCACCCCGTTCTCCATGGTAACAGAGCCATCCGCCTGGCGAGGAAGAGGAAAGAATCAGAGGAGAGCACAGAGTCCCCCTCTGCCAAAGTGCCGGGGGCAGGGAGGGAGAAATGCCACTGAACACGGTCTTTGCAAACGCCGCTTGGGGGCTTTACCCATGGAGCTTCCTGGTGCGAGTGTGAGGAACCCCCAGAGCGGCTTACCTGCTTCACCACTGTCACGGGATGAGGCGGTGTTAAGGAATCCTTCACGGCAGAGTAGCCCATGCTAGGCACCTTCACCAGGGCTGAAAGGAAGAGAGGCAGAGCAGCTCACTCAGACGTGTTTCCCTTTCAGAGAGACACCCTCTCTCCTGTCCCCTTGTCACTAGGAAACACCTCCCCTCTGTTCGGAGGTCCAGAACTGCCCACGAGAATAACTTTTCCATGTGGTGCTGAGGGAGATGGAGCCTGTTCCTAGAGATCCTGGGTAACCCTGATCTAGAGAGCATGGATAAGCCAGCGTCTCCATCAGCAGTGAGGGGGCAAAGGCTCTGTGTGGCTGCAATTAGCCAGCCATTGCTTTGTGGGTCTATTTTTCCTGGCCCACCTCCCTACCCGTCCTTCCCTTTGGGGATTTGGCGTTCCGCTGGGCTTTGTGGGGGATGATCTCGAAATCTTTAGGCAGGCAGGACAATGGCACCTAAGGTCTCTTCTCCGGTCCTGGAGATGACTTCAGTCCGTTCCCAGGGCAAAGTGTTTAGAACAAGGAGGCTTTCTGCTGTCTCTGGACCAGTCGGCAAAAG